TTGTTGATGGCTGTTCGCAGAGAGCACCTTGTGGCCAGGTACTCTCCGCGCGCATCGACAGTGCTGTCGTTTTCTCTTCCCGCTCTTCGTCGGGCTCTGAGGAGATCTCGTCTGGCGGCGTTCACACGTCTTCGCAGATCCGTGATCTCCTCCGTCCACCAATATATAGCCCGACGAGGGGCGGGCTTTGATCGGGGCATGGCCGCGTCGCAGATACGCTCGGCCATGTTCCCGATCTCCTCGGCATCGGCCTCGATGTCGACGAGGTCGGGAGGATCCGACCACGTTTCCACCAAGGCCGCCGCTACCAATTTGTCCTGGTCTAATCGGGCCAGGGCCCATCTTCTCGGGGGTTTATCGCCCCTTTGTTGATGGCGGCGGATCAGCACCTCCGGTCGGGGGGGGGGGGAGGTGGCAGTCAGGACCATCTCTATGTAGAGATGGTCCGAAAGGGACTCTCGGTCCGCCACCCTCCAGGTTCCTACCAAGTGTGCCGCCCGGGGGGATGCCCACGTCAAGTCAACGATGGATTCCCCCCGGGGGTAAACATAGGTGTTTTCGGACCCCCTGTTTAGTAACAGGAGGTCCAGCTCCGCCGCCCAGTCCAACACGGCCTGATCCCTGCTGTTGGTGTACCGGGAACCCCACGTCTGCGCCCAAGCGTTAAAGTCCCCGGCCACCAGTACGGGGTGGAAGAGGCATCGGCGAATGCCTTCCCCATTGCCCGCAGCTGCTCCAGAAATTTGGGGTGAGGCCGCTTTGGTGGGGCGTAAACCCCCACCACGTAGAAGGCACCCCACCGCGCCACAACGAATCCCACTCCCCGTTTCACAAGGGTAAGGGGGGGGAGGGGAACGCGGGGAGTGCCCTCTCACAATGACGACGAAACCGTTCGAGGCTGAGACCCAGTTGGAGTTGGAGTCCAGCACTCGATACGGCTCCGCCGCCACTCCCAATCCTGCATCACGCTCGCACAGGTCCGCTAGGAACAAATCCTGGGCCCAACGAGCGTGATTCAGGTTGGCCTGAAGGAGCTTCGTAGACATTATTGGTTCTTTTGAACCTGTCCCTCTTTCAAGCTAATCTTTCCTGCTTCATTGGCGACAGCCGGCGATGGATCCACGTCCATACTCTCTATGGGGGAATTAGATTCCCTCATAATGGGCGACATTGCCGCTGCCGCCGGTTTTTTCGCCTTCTTAGGGGGGATGGGTGCCGGTGTGGCTATCCCACCCTTTTTTTCGTGCCCCCTTTGGAGGGCTTGCACGCCAGCCTCCCCATACGGTGGGAGGCCGGACGACCCGCGTCTAGACACACGGCGCATTTTGCCTGCGCCGTGCACACACGGGCCTCGTGCCCCGCTTCCCCGCAACGATAACAAAGATCGCTGCGGTCCACGGTCGTATTGGAGCATTTCGCCCTGATGTGACCCTTCTCCAGGCATTTAAAACACTGGAGAGGGCGTACTTCCAGAAACTCTACGCGAGCTCTGAAGAGCCCGTTGATTGCAATGTGCCCCTCCTGGGCGACCTTATTGGCCGCCCTGAGGGGACACTTCGCCCAGGCCGTAGGAAGGTCTCTGGGAGTAGGGGAGGGTTTAATGTCCCCTACTTTAACCTCAGTGGGGGAGCATCTTCCCTTCTCCGCCACGGCCTGGGCAACGCTCTCAGCCGTGGCCGACGGCACCAGATCCCGGATACGGATCTCCCCCATTTTCTGGGGTCGGTTGATCCGTATCTCGGGTCTATCCGCGAACAGGCTGCACATTTTTTGTGCCAACCTGTTCGCGCGCTTCTGGCTATTGGGGCCCAATATCTCGAAGATAAAGGCCCCAGTTTGGCCCGCTTTGAGCTTGATCAGGGGGATCCCCATCTCTTTGATGGAGATCTCCCTCGTGATCTTTGCCGTCACCGCGGCGTATTATCTTTCTTCTGTGTTCGCGTTGGCGGGGGAGGGGGCCCTTCCCACTATGGGGTCGTAGTACCTCCTCTCCGCGCGTTCCGTCAGGGTCGCTGCGCCTGCCTCGAGGGAGGAAGCCACAACATAGAGGAGCTTTGCTAAGCTCTCCTTGAGGCCTTTCGAGACCCCAGCGACCTCAAGGATGGAGTCCGTGTTCACCCTGAGGTTGTCCAGGATCTGCTGGACCGGTGCCGATTCAAACTATACGACCTTGCTCTTAATCATTCCCACGTGCTTGTGGTATCGCTCGGTCGTACGGTCCGTCTCATGATGAGGATTCATAATCCTCTCGGCAACCTTGCGGTGGAGCTCTTCGATTCGCTCCACGGCCTCCTCTCTCCTTTTTCGGGCGGTGTGTTGCCCTACTTGAAGGAAATCCTTTGCAGGGCGCCCCTTGGGATTCTCCTTTTTGGCCCGGGCCTTGAGGACCTCTATGTCCTCATCGTCGGAGGACAAAAAGTCAGCCGTTTTTGTCCTCTTCTCCCTCTTTCTCCTCCTTTCGTCAGAAGAAGGAGAATCAGGGAGGGTGATGATCTCCTCCCTGTCTCTCCGAGGCCTCTTAGCCCCAGCTAACGACGTGCTCGCTCGGGTACCGTCCTTGTCATCCTCCGTGCCAAGGTCAATGGAAGCCCCACAATTGAGGCTCTCCTCCGACCCCGTACGGGAAAAGCCCCGCG